GCAGCAAAACTTAGTTTTTCTTAGATTTTTAATGGCAGTACTTTTACTTGTAATAGATTACTACCTCTTAATAAAATGAAATGCCCTTGTTCCTTTTAACCCCACTGATGTGAAGCCACATGAAAGGTGAAGGACGAGACCGTAGGAATGTAGTGTGGATTATTGAGCACACCAGGATTGTGCTGTGGTATTTACCATCTAATCCAAAGATAAACTGGCTCAACACTGTTATGTGGATAATCTGGTGTCATCTGTTTATCCTGCCAATGGCATTTATCTCATAGTCCCATAGAACAGCCGACTCTACAATCTGCTGTTAGTTTGTGCACGAAGATGAGGAATAAATAAGACGAAGTATTCATGTAGCAACCTTCTTATTAAATTATGAAAATAACATGTTTCATGTACTTTTCAGAGTGGCTCTACTCTAAAAACCCAAAATGAATATTAGCCACTTGACTTGTTCAGCCAGTTTTTCCCAAACAATTTTTTTAAACAAAGTTATTAAGCAGTTGTAGTCTAACCAGTGTTGTGTTAAACAAACAGATGAATTGCTTGATTTGTTGTTTTTACTTATCATGTCTGACTGAATATGGCGCTGTGGATTATTTCTATGGACTTCCTGGTTGATACAATAAGAAGAAGAAGAATCACTTGATGTACACTTCACTTGATGGCAGTCACATTTCTTAAGATCTCCACATGACTCATTCACATGTGACTCATGATGCTAACATGACTGCAGGTTAGTCATGCAGTTGTAGACAGTCATTACTGTGAGCACTTAGGTGTGTGTATTGGATTAGAAACATAATTAAACACTCCATATTTTCCTTTCATGTATGTAATTAACCTAATTGGGAAAATATCAATTAATTAATAAATATTAGTCAACTATTTGGCAAACTACACTGATATTCTTACCTCAATGCACTCCGATTACTTTAATCATTCAGTATTTATCTACGTTCTTACAATCAGATTTCACAGCCATTCACCATACTTTTACATTCATGTACACTTCTCTTACTCTATAATTTTAGTATACTGCTCTGATTAATTGTCTGGACATTGCACTGATGTCATCGTTGCTTTTCTTTTTTGCTTTTACTTGTGTTTTGAAATGCTCTATGTGCCTTAGAATTGTCCTCTGGGGACAAATCAAGTCGTTTTGACTAACATTAAATTCTGGTTTGTCTAGTTTCCTGGGTATAATTTGACAAAATGGGCCACAATTAAAACAACTTGTGTGACAGAGTAGAGTATGAGAATACAAGATGGCACTGTTTGTCAACAAAGCATTATAAAGAGACTGCATAGAGTGGTAGGATGACCCCTTGACCCAGTGGAGGTGTTGGGACAGAGGAGAATGACGGCGAGGCTGTCTTCTCTGATGGAGAAGACAGCCTCGCACCTCCTGCAGGACACCATCACAGCACTGGGCAGCTCCTTCAGACTGATCCACCCTATCTATCGCAGGGCGTTCCTTCCTGCAGCAGTGAGACTGTACAACCAGCTCTGCTCCCAGTAGAACTACACACACCCATTATGGACTGCACGTTACCACTGGTTTAACTCTCTTAACGGTGCAATATTCCTTCTGTCTGTGCAATGGTTCATGTACAATCCATTCACTGTATAGTCTCACACCACACATATTGCCCTTGTTTTCACACTGTATATATTAGTTTCAAATTCCAATCATATTTTTCTATATATTTTTTTACATTTCCTAAAGCTTAAGTATTATTATTATCCTTAGACTTAAGTATTACATGTTACTCATTATTACTTACCGGTGCCTATTTTGACTCTTGCTGCTGTAATATTTCAAATTTCATAATAATTTTACCTTAAAAAGGGGGGGGGGGGAAACGGCACTATTTTGAGTCGCGGATGAACACAGATCGATGACGTGTCTCCTGTATAAATGATCCTGTCCCCCCTGGCAACTGCATTCAGAGGGACTGTTGTGAAGGGAGAGCGGCTGGAGACACTGATCGTGACTGTAAGTGCAACATCTGTCATTGAAAAGCTTCATATTATATATTTATACTTATTTCTCAGTAGCAGTGACATCTTTGTTTATGTGTTGTTGTACCACTTCACAGCCTCCTCTGATCTTATCTGTGGTCTGTGTGGCAGCTAACCGCTTCGAAAACCTAAATACAATCTCAAACTAACAGTGAACGTGACCTACGTGATCAATGTTTGATGTTTCGTGTAATTCAGCAGGCGAGAGACACGTAGGAGTAGTCGCAGGTGACAATGGCACATTTCTAGCTGTGTCCTCCATTAGCGGGTAACGTTAGCTGAACAAACGAAAGCAAACAACAATAGCTTATTTTAAAATGGCGCTGGTGCTCGAATCCCCGGCTTCCTACCAGTATGTTCATGTCAGACAGTAGCTCTAAGCTAACTGTCACTGCTTAGAATAGCAGGTTGTATATGTAAAACGTGTTAAATGTTTAATATGGTTCAACAATTATTCTACATCTCTGTCAGAAATCATGTAAAGGGACATATAATAAACTGTAGCTGTAAGATTTATTTAAAATGATTGAGGCAATGTTTCATTTCAGACAGGTCAAATATATGTGACACCTTTGTGGTTGTCCTGTCAAACATACAGTGTGTTTTTCCCCCCTGTGATTCCTGTTACATTAAAAGACCTTAAATTGTATCCTTATATTTTCTCAGGTGCAAACATGCAGATCTTCGTGAAGACCCTCACTGGCAAGACCATCACCCTCGAGGTTGAGCCCAGTGACACCATTGAAAATGTCAAGGCTAAGATCCAGGACAAGGAAGGCATTCCCCCAGATCAGCAGAGGCTGATCTTTGCTGG